GCTGGCAAATGGGACTGGATTAATTTGGGATATTGGGTCGATATGGACAAGTTGGGCCGAAGGGTCTGTTTCCATGTTGTATGTCTCTATGACTGTATAATAAAGAGAAATGATCAGTGGGAGAACAGATTGATGTATCTTAAAGGAGGAGAGAGAGAGAGGAAAAAAAAACGTTTAGGGAGGGAATTCTAGAGCTCAGGGCCCCAGGCAGCTGAAGACACGGCCCCCAAAGGTAGAGCGATAGAATCAGGGGACGCTCAAGAGGCCAGGATTGGAGGGATGTTACAGAGATAGGGAGGGGGTGTAGGGGCTGGAGGGGGTGACAGAGATAGGGAGGGGTCTGTAGGGGGCCGGAGGGGGGTGACGGGGATAGGAAGGGAGTGTGGGTCTGCATACACAGTGGGTAATGAGTGCAGGGACTGGGTATGAGGTGGGAGATGGGAACAGTGAGCTGCTCCTGAGCAGGGAGATCCCGGGGTGTGAATGTGTAGGAATGGTCGGGCCTGGAGGTGATCAGCACCATCGGGATGTCAGGCCGTGCTGTCGGAGTAATATTGAAAATACAGTTTCCCTTTCGTCAGCTGCAGGTAGTTGAGTTAAAGTTTATGTAATGGGTCGGTTTGGGTCAGCGTTCGGAACGTTGTTGCTGTTGTAATGTGGGGAAGGAAGCGTGCAATGCACATTGTGAAATTGTCAGGGACTAGCCTTGTCTTCAGAGACTCACAGGACACAGTGCTTCACAGCCTGGACTTCCACAAGGACTAGCTCCCACTGGACTCGGGACACACAGGGAGCTGGGGGTGAAGTTACAGTTTTCCATGCCTCCTCCAAACTCTAAACCCCCCCACCCCCACCCTCCCGAGACCCTTGGCCCTCGTTGCTGGCAATGGTCTTCCTCCTGGGCAAGGTGGTCTGTCTTTCTCAGGCCTTGGACCAGTGCAGGCCTATAACTGTGTGACTGGGTGGCTTGTCAGTGCATTCGGGAGGGTGGCCAGGCCTGTAGCCCATGGCAGTGCTAACACAGACCATCAGAGAGAAGGGGCAATGCTGAGGGGCACAGACAAATCCCGGCCCGAGCCCTGATTCCCAGGGTGAGTTACAAACGGACTGATTGTTGTGCGTTCGCGCTGACAGCAAAGAGGAAGTACCTGCCTCAGTTACACTGTGTGGTTTTCCTGTAACCTACATGCCCAACACCCCACTGCTCACTTCACAGCAACTCAACATAACGTTCTCAAACGCTCTGCCCAAAGCATCAGAACATCACAGGTACCAGGCACATGTGACAGGACAAACTTTTACCTCCAACACCTTCACCCTGTATCTAACCCCGTGCTGTCCCTGTCCCTGGGAGTGTTTGATGGGGGGACAGTGTAGAGGGAGCTTTACTCTGTATCTAACCCGGTGCTGTCCCTGTCCCTGTCCCTGGGAGTGTTTGATGGGGGGGAGCAGTGCAGAGGGAGCTTTACTCTGTGTCTAACCCTGTGCTGTCCCTGTCCTTACCATCCCTAACTGCCCCCTTGAGGAGGTGGGGGGGAGCTGCCTTCTTGAATCGCTGCAGTCCATGTGCTGTGGGTTGACCCACAATGTCCCTTAGGGAGGGAATTCCAGGATTGTGACCCAGTGACACTGAAGGAACGGGGATATATTCGCAGGTCGGGATGGTGAGGGGCTCGGAGGGGAATGTGCAGGGGGGCGGTGTTCCCATGTACCTGCTGCCCCTTGTCCTTCTGGATGGAGGTGGGTCGTGGGTTTGGAAGGTGCTGCCTGAGGATCTTTGGTGAATTTCTGCAGAGCATCTTGTAGATGGTACACACTGCTGTTACTGAGCGTCGTTGGGGGGAGGGAGTGGGATGTTTGTGGATGTGGTGCCAATCGAGTGGGGGCTACTTTGTCCTGGATGTTGTCAAGCTTCTTGAGTGTTGTTGGAGCTGCCCCCATCCAGGGGCAAGTGGGGAGTATTCCATCCCACTCCTGACTTGTGCCTTGTAGATGGTGGGACAGGCTTTGGGGGGAGTCAGGAGGGGAGTTACTCACTGCAGGATTCCCAGCCTCTGCCCTGCTCTTGTAGCCCCTGTGTTTATGTGGAGGGTCCAGTTGAGTTTCTGGTCAATGGTTGCCCCCAGGATGTTGATAGTGGGGGGTTTCAGTGATGGTACTGATATTAGAATATCAAGGGGGCAATGGTTAGATTGTCTCTTATTGGTGATGGTCATAGCCTGGCATTTGTGTGGCGCGAATGTCACTTGCCACTTCTCAGCCCAAGCCTGGATATTGTCCAGATCTTGTTGCATGTGAACACGGACTGCTTCAGTATCTGAGGAGTCACGAATGGTGCTGAACATTGTACAATCATCGGCGAACATCCCACTTCTGGACTGTGCCAGTGAAAGGCCTGTCAGTGCCAATCCCTTGTTGGGGGTGGGCACAGAGGAAGGGGGAATCAGAAACTGAGCGGTACACTCGCTCCCACACGCCCCAGGACACATGGCCCCCCCACCCCCACCCCACACCATGGCCAAAACGCCAAGTGGCAGACCACAGGAAATTGGGGCACTGTTGGAGACCAAAATGGCGGGTGGACCAATGGCCCTGTCCCCTTCTCTCGTCCTGGAGGGATGGGGTCGGAACGGCTGGTGTCTTGTCACCACCTCCCAGAGGGGTTGGGGCAGTCTGTACCCCGATAGATCGCACCCTGAAATCACACCCACCACCTCCCAACGACCCTCCCCAGCCCCTCCCCAGCGCCCCCCAGACCTGTGTCTCAGAGACAACAGGGCATCACATGTGAGCATCCTGCTCACAGCTAACACCGAACACATCAAACATCATAACTTCCTCATCAAACAGGAGGAGCGTACCCAGCACCCACTGCACCACACCCCTGAGCATTTCCCAATTTTGAGCCATTATCCAATTTCCCTCTTTCAGACAATCCCACTGAAGCTGCTTCCTGGCATTCCAATTCATACTCACGTGGACCTTGGGAGTTGGAGGCAATCCGTGACAAATTTCTCTCTGGAAATGAACGGAGAATATTAAACTACACTGTAGCAGCACAGCTCCCACCCATCCCAGTTTCATCAAGAAACATGCTCAGGAACGGGTCCCAGAATCCACACAGCAGGACAGGGACAATGGGGCAGCCCTGTGTTTGTCATCTCCCCCAGCACACACTCACTCACACACACTCTCTCACACACACACTCACTCACTTGCACACTCACTTTCACACACACACTTGTACATGCACTCACATTGCCATAGGATCTCACTCACTCTCACATACACACTTGCACACATTCTCACACACACACACTTGCACATGCACTCACACTGTGAGACAATCTCACTCACTCTCACACACACTCACACTCACTTGCATACTCACTCTCACACACACACACTCACTTGCATACTCACTCTCACACACACTCACACTCACTTGCATACTCACTCGCACATGCACTCACACTTTCAGAGGGTCTCACTCACACGCACACTCACACTCAGACACTTTCAGAGCCGTATTATGGAAAGGATATTATTAAACTAGAAAGACTGCAGAAAATATTGACTAGGATGCTACTTGGAGTGGAAGGTTTGAGTTATAAGGAGAGGTTGGGCTGGGACTTTTTCTCTGGAGCGTAGGAGATTGAGGGTGACCTTTTAAAGGTCTATCACATCATGAGCGGCATGGATAAGGGAGATAGCCAACAGCTTTTTCCCATAGTGGAGGGTCTAAAACTAGTGGGCATAGGTTTAAGGTGAGAGGGGAAAGATACAGAAGGGTCCAGAGGGCAATTTTTTCACACAGAGGGTGGTGAGTGTCTGTGTGGAGTTTGCACATTCTCCCCATATCTGCGTGGGTTTCCTCCGGGTGCTCCGGTTTCCTCCCACAGTCCAAAGATGTACAGGTTAGGGTGGATTGGCCGTGCTAAATTGTCCCATAGTGCCCAGGGATGTGCAGGTTAGGGTGGATTGCCTGTGCTACATTGCCCCATAGTGCCCAGGGATGTGCAGGTTAGGGTGGATTGGCCGTGCTAAGTTGTCCCATAGTGTCCAGGGATGTGCAGGTTAGGGTGGATTGCCTGTGCTACATTGCCCCATAGTGCCCAGGGATGTGCAGATTAGGGTGGATTGGCCGTGTTAAATTGTCCTGTAGTGCCCTGGGATGTGCGGGTTAGGGTGGGTTGGCCATGGGAAATGCAGGGTTACAGGGATAAGGGGGATGGATCTGGTTGGGATGTTCTTCAGAGGGTTGGTGTGGACTAGATGGGCCGAATGACCTGCTTGCACACCATTGGGATTCTCTGACTTGTGAATCACTGGCAAATGGGACTAGTTGAATTGCGAAAGCTGGGTGACGTGGACAGGTTGGGCCGAAGGGCCTGTTTCCATGCGGTAGACCGCGACGACATCAAGCAAAGACGCAACGCTCACATACAGACACCCCCTCCCTAAATCCTTCCAACCCCTCTGTCTCCCTCTCCCACCCTTAAAACCGATTTCTGTGACCTTTGGTCTCCCCCACCCTGATCTAGCGCAAG